GGAAAGTTAATTAACAAACAGAGACGTAACAGTATTGTTGATTTTCCTACTAAAGGAATGTTGAATATTTTATATCTATAGTATCATAGATTTTCCTACTAAAATAACATTGAATATTTTATACCTATAGTATGGTTGATTTTCCTACTAAGGGAATGTGGAATATTTTATATCTATAGTATTGTTGATTTTCCTACTAAAGGAATGCTGAATATTTATATCTATAGTATTATAGATTTTTCTACTAAAGGTACATTGAATATTTTATATCTATAGTATTGTCAATTTTTTACTGAGGAAATGTTGAATATTTTATATCTATAGTTTTGTTGATTTTCTTACTGAGGAAATATTGAATATTTTATATCTATAGTATTGTTGATTTTCTTACTGAGGAAATGTTGAATATTTTATATCTATAGTTTTGTTCATTTTCTTACTAAAGGAATGTTGAATATTTTTTGATTTTCCTACTAAAGGTACATTGAATATTTTATATCTATAGTATTGTTGATTTTCTTACTGAGGAAATGTTGAATATTTTATATCTATAGTATTGTTGATTTTCCTACAAAAGGAATGTGGAATATTTTATATCTATGGTATTGTTCATTTTCCTACTAAGGGAGTGTGGAATATTTTATATCTATAGTATTATTGGTTTTCCTGATAAAGGAATGTGGAATATTTTATATCTGTAGGATCTAGTTATATCGATAGTAATGAGAGAGTATGTTAATAAAAATGTACTATACAAGAATGGTTTTGGTATAGAAAATAAAATGTTTGTTTGTTTGTTTAAAGTTAAGCACAAAGCTACACAATGGGCTATCTGTGCTCTGCCCACCACGAGTATCGAAACCCGGTTTCTAGCATTGTAAGTCCGCAGACATACCGCTGTGCTACTGGGGGCAAAATAAAATGAGTTTGTGAACAAAAATATCAGTCAGTTTTAACACCACTGTTTTGATAGACTGAGCACTTGGAAAATTCTGCACTCATGCATGATCTTTTTCAGTATTACTTTGAGTCCAATATTTAATCCAACTTTTTGTGTCTAAGTAAAATATAATCTGTATTAGTGTTAATTTCTTCATAAAAGTAGCAGAGCTGTTCTGTTTGTGAACCAATCAGATATCAACTAAACTCTTCTATACCAGTGTTAGTTTCTTCATAAAAGTAGGGAAGCTTTTCTGTTTACTGACTAATCAGAGATCAGACTCAATTCTTCTATATCAGCATTAGTTTCTTCAT